AGAGAGAGAGAGAGAGAGAGAGAGAGAGAGAGAGAGAGAGAGAGAGAGAGAGAGAGAGAGAGACCTCGGACACATGATGGAAGTAACATTTCCCCATGAACTGGATATGCATGAATTGCTGCAGCTTCATTTTGCAGTACAGCCCCCTTCTTGGCTTAGCTTCCACTGATTTTATCTGCTGTCCTCAATTATAGAAGTAATTCCTGTGAGGACCTCCGTGAAGCTGAAACGAAGTTCTGTTTGGGCTAGGCCCCACCAAGGCTATGTTTATGCTAGATATAGCAAGAACCTGGATGCTATTTATAGTCGTGTTCATGCTTTCCATGGGTGATGGTAGCATTGTTGCGTGTTGCCTTTCAGCTCTCGTCCTTGTGGACCTTGGGCAAGTGCTGCTGGAATTACGTGAGCCACCAGGACTGTACATGTTCCTCGGTATTCTTCCTGCCATGCATTCATATATCAGGATGGATGTAGTGCGGTAAATTGGAAGAGAATAAACTCCAGGACTCTACTCATTTCTCATTATGCTTCCTGGGATGCTTTCACATGGATCGCCAGGACTCGACTCATTTCTCATTATGCTTCCTGGGATGCTTTCACATCAGGCAGGAGATTATGTTGTTTTTGGAGGTCTGCAATTGATGGAAAAGTTTCCTCTCAAGAAGCTGTTCTCCCTGTGCGAAGGCAAGTGGTTGTGTGAGGATGATGCAGTGATGGGATCTTTTATGCCCTTATTAATAGTTATTATCAGCTTTTTTTTTTTTTTTTTCGTTTTTGGAATTCGCTTTCTGAAGTAATGATCTGTTGATGTGGGGAGAGCTCTACTCCCTTCGGCATGTTTCACTTTTGCAGTGAAGCATCTTTTTTCTTTCTTCTTTTTTAATAAACCCTAATCCTTTTTTTTTTTTTTTTTTTCCCAAGTGTCTTCTCCTCATCAGCGGAAAGCTGAATTTGTTGCGTTTTGTTTTGCACTTCAGACCATTGGGGCACTCTTTGGACCATCAGGACGTTATTAGCGAACAGACCATCGGGGCACACATCAGGACGCTACGAGCAAGCTCTACTCTGTGTGGGGAGTAGTAGCCAGGCTCCTGACATCTAGTGAGGGATGTCAATGCTCTTCCTAGTGAGGGATGCCAATACTCTTACTTCTGCGAAAACCAGCCGAAGGGGGGCAAGCCAACTATACAGCGGGCGAACCCAAAGTGCGCTGCAGGGGGCCGTGGGGGATCGAACCGATGACGTGGGGAATCAAACCCATGACCTCCTGAATGCCACTTGTGTGCTCTACCAACTGAGCTAGTCCGCTGGCCCTGCAGTGAAGCATCTTGAAAGCCATCCAAATCGTGTTCTCTATGAAACCGCACTTTCATTGCACGCGCGTTTTCTGTTCAGAATTTGAACAGTTTAAATGTGCGCTCATTGAACGCACCCGAATGCGGAGTTCAATTCCGCGGTTCGGTGCCTTGTGCACTGCCCTGCCTGGGGACCGACTCTGGGGGGTGGTTGAGGGTGCGGAGCACCAACAGGACACATGGGAGTCGAGAAAACGGTCCCTGGAAAAAAAAGGCCCTGCGAGCGGTGGAGGTGGGCATATGAGGGCATGGCGCGGCATTCTCGAACGACGTTGTACATTCTGCGCGTGCCGTTGGAGAATGCGAAGGCAGCGCACGAACGCGCACTTGAGAGAGAGAGAGAGAGAGAGAGAGAGAGAGAGAGAGAGAGAGAGAGAGAGAGAGAGAGAGAGAGAGAGAGAGAGAGAGAGAGAGANAGAGAGAGAGAGAGAGAGAGAGAGAGAGAGAGAGAGAGAGAGAGAGAGAGAGAGAGAGAGAGAGAGAGAGAGAGAGAGAGAGAGATGGCACCACAGGAGCAGCGGAGCGGCGGTGACAGTGGATTGGCGTGCAACCCTCAACCCCACACCCCCAACCCTCAGCCCCACACCCCACACCACCAACTCTCAACCTTACACCCCCAACCCTCAACCCCACAACCCCAACCTTCAACCCCACAACCCCAACCTTCAACTCCACACCCCCAACCCTCAACCCCATGCCACACCCCCAACCCCCTCGGGCCCCGCACCCCGAACCCACACTACTGGCCCCCCCCAAAGCGCATGAATGGAGTGTGCCCCCCCGCAGCCCCCATCCTGCGCGCCATGCTGGTGTGATTGCGTGCATTTTTTTCCCCCGCGCTGCGACGTGGCACATTTAAATGCGTTTGAATGCGCGCACGGGGGAATTGAACTCGTGCGTTTGTACGCGAACACGTGTTCATTGCGTTCACCCGGCAACATAGCGTGTTCTGCCAGGCAGGAGCGGGAGGATGAACTTGTTCTTGCACTTTTTAATTCTTTGGTGGAAATGAAACACAGCTTTTCCTCAGATTTGTTTTTGGGGGGGGGATAAAAAGATTGGTTGTATATGCGAAAGTGGATGTTTAGTGACAGTCCTCTGTTGTGCATGTGCAGGGAAGTGTTTCCTCTGTTGTGCATGTGCAGGGAAGTGTTGTGACGACGTCAGCAGAGCCTGGGAGAGCTGGAGAAGTGGGCGTATTGGCTGAAACATGTGCCACGGAGGAGGGAGAGGGAGAACAGCACAGGTCCAAAGCTGCACTGGTTGCAGCTTCGAAAGCGAAGAAGGCTGCACGCTGGTCGATCTTCAGATCAGTCCTCCGTGGACTGAAGGTCTTTTTCCTGACCTGGCTTCCCTATTCGACCCGACATTCCTCCCCCCCCCCCCCCCCCTCCCCTCTTTTTTACCGCTTTGTTGAAACAAATGCAGGGTCTGACGGGGATTTCGTGCGGAGCTTATTTATTTTGACCAATAGTATTCTTTTGAGTAATTGGTTTGACCAACTGTCTCTCCTGAGATCCTTGGCGCATTGGAAAAGAAGAAAAATTGAAGGAAAACACAAAACAGCTCAAAATACAGTCCTTTCACCGCTTGACCTAGGGAATATCAAATTCGACAAATGTCAGAATATGACACACCCACCCACGCCCGCCTGCCTGCCCGCCCCCCCCCCCGCCACAGGGTGGCGGACCAGGCCCGAGACACTTTGTTTTTTGAGGCCTGTAGATATCAATGTCAAACTGATAAGCCCAAGAGAACTCAGAATTATTTGATTTCATTCCTCTAGTTCGGGAGGTCACAGGGTGGCGGACCAGGTTTCGGGGCCTGGGCGTGTTCGGGAGGTCACAGGGTGCGGACCAGGCCCGAGACACTTTGTTTTTTGAGGCCTGTAGGCCCTCAAAACTTGAAAAAAAAAGGCCCAATCTGGGGCGTCAGATCTTGAAGATCGACGGCTCAGAGTGTGCCTCCAAGAAAAAGGCCCAATCTTGGCCGTCAGATCGTTGGGCAATGGATGAACGTTCACACCAGCGCCAGCAGCCGCAACCCCAAGCCACCATCCCAACCATCGCCAGGTAGGTGACTCCCGTCGTACTTCCCTGATCACCTCCCTCTCCCTCCTCCTTCCCCTCTCCTCCTTCTCCCCCTCCCCTTCCTCCTCAGCCCCTTTTCCTCCATCTCTTCTTCCTCGTCCTCTTCTTCTTCCTTCTCCTCATCGTCCTCCTCCTCCCCCTGCCCCTCTCTTCGTTGTCTCATCTGCCGCAGTAGCTGCTACGTCTACTGCAGCAAATGCTGCAGATGCCCCAGCTGCTGCAGATGCTGCTGATGCAGCTGCTACTGCACCGGCTGCATCTGCCGTAGCAAATGGTGCCGATGCTGGGCCTGCTGCATGTGCACCATCTGGACCCCGTGCTGCAGCAGATGACCCAGCTGCTACTGCACCTGCTGCATCTGCTGCAGCAGATTGTGCAGATGGTGCAGATGCTGCACATGCAGCAGGTACTGCACCTGCTGCACCCGTTGCAGCAGTTGGTGCATTTACTGCAGCAGGTGCTGCATGTGCAGCGGATGATGCACCTCCTGCAGCAGCGCACCCTCCACCCACCCTGACCCCTCCTCCCCCACCCTGTTTCCCCATTTTTTGTGTTTTGTGTTCGGAATGAGCTCAAATTTTTATTACGGGGTCTCCGTGTGGTGTGCGGATACCCCCAATTTATTTTATTTTTTCTCACCTTTAAATTGGCGGAAAATGATCCTGGACAACTCCCCTACTGGATGTCTGACGGAGACGTCTCCCGATTGGACAGGCGGTAAACTAGCTTTTTTTCTGAATAAGCCAGATAGTTGGGGACAGGTCCCAGTGGTGCTCTGTTTGTGCCGTGTTAGCATGAATTAGGACAGTGATTCCACCACGTTGGTGCGTCGTGAGGACGGACGTAGGAGCAGCACAGGTTGCACTTGATCTGTGCACTACCGAGTTGTTCCCACGGAAGTTCCGGACCCCTTCCGGAGACACGTTGCGCAAGTTATTGTGAATGACTGGGCATGCCAGGGCTGGCAGGTCTGCTGCCTGTTGACTTGTAAGTTGTCGCATTGGCCTTGGTAGCTTAACTCGTCATGTATGGTCTTACTCGTCTAGGAGGGTTGCAGTTGCATCGTAGATTCATAACCCATGACATGCAATACATGATGAATGTTGCGGTAAACATGAACGGTAATGCACCCGGCTGTTGTGGTAGGTGCTCCTTCGTCGTGTTAAGTCTAGGCAAGTAGGAAACATCGTTATCGATGTGTAAAATGGTTACTCTGCAGGTTGACGACGAGCCACGGGTGAAGTTAATGTGCACTGTTGAATCATTCTTCATGGATTTTTAGGTTTGTGGCTGTAGGATGCTCTTCTAGCATGTGTTCTCTTTCTCTTTGTGTCTTGCTCCACTACTCAACGTGCTTACGTGTATCAGGGTGGGGAACCGTTCGGACTGATCCAATGTTGTGAATGCATTGGGACCACTTGCAAGTCCGGACACATTTCCAATGTACTGCAGTGGAGAGAGGCCCTTTCTCTCTGTTTGTTCACATCAGATCCACCCGTCGATGGAAAGGGCTCTGCCTTTTTCTGGGGAGGAACATATTGTCGTATTCACAGTCTCGCATGCCACTTGTGGTAAAAACAAGGAAGTCCAAGATGAACTTGCTAGAAGTCAAACCTCTTTTTTTTTTTTTTTAAACAGAACCTCCCGGTTCTGGCTGCGACCATTCTGGGGCGCAACAGTCCGGTTCCTATTCTGCTGTCAAGTCAAATTGAGATACATATGCGACTCACACACGCTCCTCCCCATTATGGCTGGGAGGTCCGAGTGGACGGCATTGATTACTTCCCTGAGGTAGGATGTACCACCCCTCGCCCCTGCCTAAGTTAGCCTGTGCTACTTATATTGCCTGGCTGTTTCCGATCTGTCTGGCGCCTGGATGTACCACTCCTCTCAGCTGTGGAGCTGTCGAGTTGATGTGTTGTACAAGAGCGGTCTGGATCGCATGTGCTGTTTTGGAGGTTTCTAAAACCTCTGACCCCTTACTTAACCCGTTTCAGTGTAGATTTTAAAACCTAAACCCTTGGTTGTGTTGTTGTTTTTCTAGCTGCCAGCTATGTCCCTTGACGTCAGAACTGTTGGAAGGGCCGTTTGGTGGAGACTTACGTTGAACCCCGATCCTTATTTGACTTATCATAACTGAGCTCCATGTCCTTGCTGGTATGAATGGGGGATTGCAGATCTTGACTTCTTCGGGTTCTGGTGCCTTACTGTTTAAAAGACTCTCCTCCTTGGCTGTCGGTCGTTCTGGTGTAGCTAAAAGAACTGGGGTGCGTTTGTTCTGAATTGTGCTGGTTCCTGTCCGATTAAAATTCCGGCCATTGCTTACCCTGCCCATAGGCTGCTCTCTGTATGTCGAAACATGAGGTTACAGGGTTTAAGATCCAAGTTATGTGAGAGCTGTGGAAGGCGGAAGGCATGTTGAGGTCGGGAGCTTGGCGTGTTCATCTTGGTGGGCAGTGGTGTTAGGAATTAGTGTGGTGCGGAACGAGTCCTCTTACTTGCCACCAAAGAGGTGGATCAGGTAACCAAGTCTAACCAAGTCATTAAGTGAGCTGGGATGATAGTGAAGGCCCATGTGGGACATTTCACCACACCACATAATGGATGTTCATGCATGACTTAGCGTATCCAAGGCTGAACTCAACCAGGTGCACATGAGGGGTAGCCCACGGCATCGGTTAAGCACATGCAAGGGCGTCGGGCTGGCTCTAATTGCTTGCTAACAGTTGGGAAAATAGGGAAAACTGCCAGTTTTCCCAAACTCCTGAAAAATCGGAGGCCGGGCCCATCGACGGCTGCCATTGATAAATCTGATCGGCGGCTGTCGTTTCGTTTCGGCCTCCTAAAAGGTCGGAGGCCCACCCGAGGCCCGCTATTTTCCCATTCGGCAAAAGTACTGGTGGTTTGAGTGAGCTGGGATGAAAGTGAAGGCCCATGTGGGACATTTCACCACACCACATCATGGATGTTCATGCATGACCCAGTGTAGCCAAGGCTGAACTCAACCCAGGTTCACATGAGGGGTAGCCCACGGCATCGGTCAAGCACATGCAAGGGCATCGGACTGGCTCTAATCGCTTGCTAACAGACTCCAAACTCTACGATGTCTCTACTATTGGCACCAGATCAGGACAGCCAGAACATGCTCGGCTTCACAACTCCCTGGGACCTGGGATGATCCTGCGCCAGACTTAATGGGGGACCCTGTCCACTACTTGTTTTTCGAAATAGGTCGCTAGCCCTTGCGTGAAACGTGCATTTGCCATTTTGTGATTTTCATGATCTTCGGGGCTGGCTCCAAGTGGAAACCTTCCAGCACAGTTCCTGTCTTACTTTCCAATCAGGTAACTCATCTGGTCAAGATCCTGGCCTGCATACGAACTGCATATTGTGTTATATTAACTTGTATTTATAGCACTTTCTTCGCCCAATCACAATATTTCTTTTTGCCCTTATCATTACTTTGCGGCTGGACTACTTTATCCAAGAGTCGGCCTTTTTTTTTTTTTTTTTTTAATCATTTTTCTTTTTGAAAAGGGCGCCGGCCTTGAGATATCATCATCGAGTTGACAAGCCCAAGGTAATTCAGAATTGTTTCATTGCATACATCTAGGTCCATCAGGACTCGAACTTGGGTCTGTTTTTTTTTTTTTTTTAACAGTTCAGGGGTGTACCAGCTGAGCTACCGTCTTCACCCGAATAGAACACCCAGGTCATTATAGCTGAGTATCTGGACTGAAAATTGCACCAAATATGGCTATAATGACTGGGCGTTCTATTCGGGTGAGGATGATAGGCTCGTTGGTATCCAAGTGTCGGCCTACATTTTGGGGTTTTCTCCCCCTTCCTCTCGACATCGGTTGCTGACTCGCGCCTCCCTTCTACTGTGTATGTGTATGGGGATTTCCTCTTCCATTCCTCCTTCATCGGTTGCTCAGCCATTTTCCCCATTGACTGTTTGCATTCCTCTGTGTCTTGATTTCTTTTGTGCACTTGAACATTGCGACTTCCTTCCTGAGCGCACCTTGCATTGCGGCTTTCCCCACTCTTTGCATGGCAGCGGCCATGGGCCTTGATGCATTGCTTCCCAAAAGTGTCGAATGGCGAGAGTATTTTCAAGTAGCCGGAGAGAGGCGTTCACAAGTGTTCTGTTTTTTTTTCAAATTTAGCGAGTCGTGGAGTAAAGCCCCATGGCTTTGCTGTGAGCACTCAGCTTGGACTATTGCTGTGTATGTTGTGGACATTTGTTGAATATCTTTGCAATGCCATCGTGTGGCGTGCTTCAACCATGTGCAGAGTCCAAAAGCAATGCCGCCAACAAACCCTAGCAGCGAGCCAACAGAAGCAAGAGGTGGTGCATCCTTGTTGGAGCAGGAGGAGGAAAAGAGAGTAATACTCGAGCAGGACCAAATTCTGCAGAGGGAGGAGGACGAACATAGACAAAGCAGGGAGGAAGATGGCGCTGCCGTCCCAGACGAATCTAATCCGGAGCGGCAGGAAGGTGTCAATGTAGAGCGCGTCATCGAGTCCTGTCCGGAGGAGGAGCCTTCAAGCGGGCAGGGGGAGGACGAGATTGAAGAGGAGGATGAGCATGCAGTTAATCCCCCTTTGACAGAGGTGCGTCACTTAACCTCCTGTGCATTTTTCGCTCATGGTGCACGATCTTTCTTCTGGAAGTCTTGCACAACGTCACATGCCTGCATTGCAAGACACATGAGCAACATGCAGTAATCCAAGAGAATCATTTCGTAGTGCTTCAAGAAGAGATGTAAACACCAGAAAAGAGGAGGGAAAAAGAAAAGGGGAGAAGATATGACCAAAGAAGAAGGTAGAAAAGAAGGGGGGGGCTGCAAAACAAGGGTAGACGACCAACACACCACTACAGGTCAAGCCGAAACCCAGACAGAGGTCGATGAAACAGTATCCCGAGCACAAAAGGGGAAATAAAAAACGAAACCCCAAATGGCGGGAAGTCTGTTCCCCTGATACGGCCCAAGATGGACGTGAAGCAGCATCGGAACGGCGTGTGACTCGGCGGCGCCTGATCTGTTTTATGGGACCTGCGCATGACATGATTGGTCTGCATAATAGACCGCCGCTGGTCCACCGCCTGTCTTGAACTGCGAAATGTTGTTTGCAGATATTCACAGGGCCTGTATATACACTGGGTTGGGTTTTCTCTAGGTACTTGGTCGGAGGGGCCAATGGATATTCCAAAGTGCACACTTAAAACACCGTTGGAGGCAGTGGTGCTTTTTAATATACTGACGATTATGAAATCTGTTGATGGCAGCACCTTCTCCTGAATACACTGCACCCTCTGCATGACTGTATTGGGCTGGAAATGTTACTTGTATGCATTCACAATGAGGTTGCGTTGTGTTCGAAAAGAAGCTAGTAGTCTTGCAACTGTCCCACCGAAGTACTAGAAGTCTGAGCCATCCCTTGCCTCTTTTTTTTTTTTTGCCACGGACAATTTCTTTCTTGATTTATGTGTGGCATCCTTGAAAGCGCAGGGGCCGTGCTTATCTTCTCTGTATCGTTCCATTTTTTACTAAATTTTACCAATTCCCCGATTTCCCATCGAACATGAGGTCCTCCTCGACGACCGAGTCTTCGGGACGTCCACTGAAATTGGAACCAAGCAGAGAAGATTAGCATGGCCCCTGCGCTTTCAAGGATGACATGCATACATTGAGAAATGCTTCCAAAAAAATATAAAATTGAATTCTCGCATGCAAGGGGGCGAAGTGTACCTTTGGTTACCTGGTGTACGTTCTGTCACATAAAACATCAGTGGGAGATAATAGTGGTTTGATGAATAAAAGCGCAATGAATGAGGCTCGTCAAGTGGGGTTAGGACGAGGTTTGGCAAGCAAGGCTCGGATGCTGTGCCGGGCATTGCCGGTCAAAAATTGTGTAAAAAACTGAGTACGGACGCCGCCCGGCCGGGCGGGGCCCGGGCAGGTCGCCCGGGCAAACCGGGCGGGCCAAAAAACAGCCCATAATTTTTTTTATTTTTTTTTTTGAGGGCGGGGTCGTGCTGTGCTCGGCGAGGGGACCCCAAATCTGCAATAAAATTTT